TCTGGTTCAGCACAGATTCAAATATTTGAATTCAACCCATGGGGATTTCAGGTAAGAATATAGGCCCCCAGCAATCTAGGCTTATCATAAAAGGTGACAAAATGGATTGGGTGGTCAGACTCAGTGACTTGGTTGGTTGTATGTCATTGTATCCCAATTGTGTGGATTGATGCTCGTGAAGTCAGTCACTCAATTATCTGGTACAGTTTGATTATTATTTACAGACCCCTCTCATACAACTGGATTATTGCTGAAAGCGACATAAACAACAAACAACAAATTATTCAACTATATAAGATAGCTATGTGATAAATCACAAAGAACAATAAAGAATGATGCATGGCTTATGTCACGAAACATATTGTTCTATCAAGACGTCATTTCAATCTTACAACTTGATAATGTAAATTGGATGTTATTTTTTAGAGTGAAGTGTCTTGTGAGTTGTTTCCAGTAGATGTAGCTGGGCAACACAGATAAAAGCAGTGGCCGAACGATGGCATCCAAAAATGGGAGAGATTTAACAATCGGCATTAGGAGAAAAGTTACAGATAATCAATAATACAAATTGTGAAAATACCGTATTCGACGTAATAAGCGCCCCGCTCTAATAAGCGCCCATGGCGATATTTGCTAATATATTGGCTAGTGAACAATCCCAATTAGCACCCCTTCCAATTGATCAATGTACACAAGACTTATTTATTCGTGTATAATTCACACTCAGGTGTTATATGCACCCTTAATTATGGGGAATTTAATTCTTGAAAAATATATCTGTCGTACATAAACATTTCAGGCGGTCAGCATAAACCACGAAATGTATCTTTCAACTCTTTTTTTTCCCCACCAAAATAATATTCTAATAAGAGCCCCCTATTCCTATTTTGAGAGCGCCCTGGGCGCTTATTACGTCGAATACGGTATGTGGGAAATACCAAATTTACACCCCCCTGTTCATATAATGAACTTGTCCGACATTGCCGAGGTCAGATTCTATTTAGGGAGTCCTTATTTAAATAAGGGTAAATATTATCAAACCTTGTACACTTCATTAATATCCTTAAAGAGGCTGTACATAATATTGATATCTCATATAAAAAATAAATGACTCATAAGCACTCCTCATGGTTTATTCCCCCTGCAGTGTTTTAGTGTACAATAAACATCACCTTTCTTTTCTTAATTACAGTCACAGCACTCTCAGTTAAGACATGTACATCTATAAAAACTTCACAACCCAGCAAAAGAGATAATTTAACTACAAGTGACAGCCACATGTACAAAGTCTGAGTTGTCAAATTCTGACATGCCGTGGTAGCCTTGAGCCCCTTACCTGCGACATATATCAAATTTCTTTCAGTCTAGCATTTTTATGTTAAAGCTTACAACAGCCCACATGTGTGAACTGTAAAATCGACTGAAACAATGAGAACAAGTATAGACAAGCAGACAAGCATTAGGGCATTATGTCACAGATTAATTCATTAATTATTTGATCACCTTCATCAAAATGGATGAGTTGGGTTTAATCATGCTAATGGTGCTTTTAACAATCTTCAAGTTACACTCCAGTGTGTCAGCTTAACAGAGGATGAAAGCCCTAAGTGGTGCAGGTCTCAGACATTTACCACATTGGCGAAACCCACAAGCATGGGGATGGTGCTGACAAGGGGATAAAAACACTATTTTAGTCAATAATGTAGACAAGTAACCTTTGTCCCAGCAATGAATTTCTTACGGTTTACTTCTTCCGGGACAATTCCAAAATTTTGATGTTTGCACATCCCTGTAATTATCCCTTGAGTGAGGTCTGAGATGGAAAGGTGACAGCTTAATACATAAATCCTACCAAGGTAGTTTCAACATGTTGCAGTGCATGTACAATATCAACCATGCTGATCTACTCACTCCCCATTAACACCTGTCAAAGGTATTATTACAAGCATGTCCTTCCATACAGGTTTGTTTATTAACACCTTCTGTGACCTGAGGTTCTCCGCTCCAAACAACAAAGACTGGCTATAATTACACTTTTCCTGTGTATTTGTCAAACGGAAAGAGGTGCAATAGCTGCCCAATACACAAATGATGTCAATCCGTGTTTAATAATGACTGAAATAGCATAAAGTGTCACCATGCCCCACAGCATGCAGAGTACTCTTATTTCACAAGCTGCACCAGTCAACTGAGAAACCTACATACCTTGTGCAAAAAGTATGATGTATATGTCAATGTAGTGATATTCAACAGCTGCTGATACTAGCCTGGCGGATATTTGGCATAATATGTTTAGATGCAGGAAGTGAGTTTATTCAACACACACTAAAAGAAACTGTAATTTGTATGCAATATGTATTAATATGCGGACCTGTTCATCTTCAGGGTTGAACAATGTTGGAAGCTACTCTCTCTCTACAATGTCTGTGGCCCATTTCCGGAGCCCTACACTTTTGGTTTGGTTTGTTGTTTAACGCCGCACTCTGCAATATTCCAGCTATATGACGGCGGTCTGTAAATAATCGAGTTTGGATCAGACAATCCAGTGAGTGACATCATGAGCATCAATCCACGCAATTGGGAGCCTGACCACCTGATCCCGTTAGTCGCCTTTTACGCCAAGCATGGGTTGCTGAAGACCTACTCTACCCCGGATCTTCACGGGTCCCCGAGCCATACGCTGGTGATGTTGCTTGAATAGGGCTAAAAGCAGCATAAAATCATACTCATTCACTCTCTCTCTCTCAAAATTGAGTCTTTTTATATCTTTTCTCATTTCAGTTGTTTTTGTCTGTCGACCCCGTAAACCAAACAAATAAAACATAAGGCCTAAATTTCTTTCTTAGAGCATGTAGAGCGAGGCAATTAACAGCACCATGTACCAAACACCCTTCTCTTCCTGAAACACAATTCTCTATATTATAACAGGTCTATCAAAATTGGATATGAAGGGAAGCCATCATTCTCCTGAGGCAAGGGAGTTAACGATAATAAAAGTCCAGTTTCCACATTTGCCGAACTAGGCTTGAGCCTCAGATGTAATCTTGGTCTTATCAAAATCATGTAACGGGTGAGGTGAAATGGGGTTTAATGTCGCTTCTAAGATTATTGCACTTGTATAGCGACTTTCATGCATGTGTGTGTGGCTGCTTGTACTAGTCCGGACTGATGCTGATTTATAGTGCTAGCCCACTGAGATACCATGCCGCAGTCTAACATGAATACCCCACTCAGACACAGTATACTGACTCCGAGCCGACCAGTCCTTGTTTAATTCCCTTAATGCCGAGTGCCAGACAGGGTAACAACAAGTACCATCTTTTAACGTCTTTTGGTATGACGCAGCCAGGGATCGAACCACGGACCTTCTGCTCTCCGGACGGACACTCCACCACGGTCAAATCATGTAACGAAACAGACTACCGGTTCATAAACAACATGGGGTCTGCTGTGCAAGTAATATGAAAGGTGGAATCTGCTGGGTGAATATGCGGTCCACAGATGGGACATTACATGTAACATCGCTATGATCAAGCCACAAAATTCTAGTCGAGTTCAATTATATTGAAGTAGTGACAAATCTTGCAACTAATATTGTGACAAACATGATAACTGGCATGAAAACCTGATATATTAAAATAAAGGAAATAACCATTTAAGGTATATTTGTCAACTTTAGATCTTTTGCACATACATGCAGAAAGGAGCATTTTACAATATATTTTAATACCATCTTGTATGCCACCTTAACATATACCACTGATAGACACCATTGTCATAGACACCAAAGTCTATCTGGATTTTCACTTGTGTCAGATACCCTTGTATACATGCATCCTCTTGTGTCGATACATGACCTCAAGATAAAGAGGTATCCTGGCACAGAATATTGCAATGCACAGAACGTGAGGTTACATAATTAGACCCCTAACACACTAGTAGCATACTACAAAAAAATCTATAGTATCTACAGTATTCAAAGATGGAGACTTGGAAAGCAGACACTCTGTTTTATTGATTTTTTTATCATGTTGAATATGTGGCAAAATACATTTCCCCCAAATAACCATTATAATTGGATCCAAGAATTAATAACCACAATTCTTTCACAATGATCCTGGAGCCATACTTAACCCATGGCCATTCACGATATGCCGTGATCACCATATCACTGTAAGTTCAACAATTTTGTCATAAAATGGAAATATGAACTGATTTTCAAAATAATCATGTCAATGAAATAGCACCACAACCAGGATGTATATTTCATTTGATTTTCAGGAAGTCTCTGGTTACATGAAAGCATTAGGCTATGTACGTAGATATACACATTGATGAGCTGTTTCCAGCTTGACACATAAATTCTATAATGTATGGCAACGCATGGCTTTCATTACATATTACCACTTCCAATAAACGACCCATTTCAACGTACAAACCTCTATCCTCATATCCTAAGCAAGCAAAAAAGAAGAATTATATCAAGTTGAGCATGATCTGGAACCTTGAATAATCAATAATAGGCCTATTGGTTTGTTCAATTTCTACAAAGCGGTACATGGACGCTGTTTCACAACCAACAATGAAACTATGTATTTGCTATTCCGATGGCACTGCACAGTTGTGTGTACAAAGTTTACGGCATACTATGTCATAATTCTTTCAAAGGCCAATCTGTGAAACGTCCGATTCACAAGCAGCACCGCTTTGACTTCACGATTGTAAACAATCGGCGTCGCTCGTGTGAAGTTGACCTTTCTCGTTTATCGGCACAACAGCGTGGGTATTTAAATATCGTGCACTGAAAGAACTTGGCAAGAACTTGGCAAGAACTTTAGCGCTCCGTATCAATGAATATGTGACTCCAACTAAACTATCGACTGAAGCAGATTCCATTCGCCATCCTCTTTCATTGCAGGCTCATCAGCCGAAGATAAACAAACGAAGCACGCACAAACCCAGTGTCAGTTCCAAACATTCAATGTAGTTTGTAATCCTACCTGACGCTCTGTCAGCCCGCCGGGCAGATGATGACAATATACATCCAGGAGTCACTTTGGTATATATCCATGGATACAGTTTAACAGACGATGCATTTCGCTCTCAACTGATCCGACGCTGCCGCAGCTGTCAGACAACAACACATGGAGATTTCTACTTCCGGTGGTAGCGCCACCTAGTGTTTGATAACATTGATTGCGCGGGAAACTCAAATACTGAGCGGCAGGTGATATTTCGGATCTGTTAGCATTTAGGGTTCTTTTCATTCATTGATTTGTCAGTCTATTTCATTCCTAAATTTAATTTGTTCAGTCATTATGCGTGGTAAAACGGGAAGATTATACAATTTCCTTTTTTTTGGATATTCCATTTCTAAAATCATATAGTGTAGCTAACCTTATTTCAGACTTCGCCTAAGTCAATAAACGGCGATGGACATTGGATCTGTGGCTGGTTCAGTTGCGTTCTACAGTAGGATAAGAACAAACATGGTAAGCTAATGAGAATGGTCACGAAAAATAATACAACATATCCCCGTGTTATGGGTTTTCGGACGCTTAAGTCGTTTAAAGGGCAAGTTCACACGGAAATGAACCTATTTTTCTTGTACTTTTTCCACATTAAAACCGTTAACCTAGAAGTGTCATAGACAAAAATATAAAAATATCACTAATAATTGACATATTTTTTGCATTAAAATGATTTATATTTTTCACATTTACCAAGTGTTCTATTTCCATAACAAAAACACCATGGCTTATGCCCCTTACAATATGACGTCATTGGTGCCAATTGATAAACATTATGACGTCATCATGCTTTGTTAGAGCCGCTTCACGTGGTGTAGGTACAGGTGTGTGATTCTAGCGTCTCAGATGCCAGCCAGCATAGTGTTATGCTGAGTCACCACTGCGCCGGAGTGTGTCGTAGGCCATGTTGTTTTACCACAAACTGGTACTTGATATCTTTTGCGTTGAGAATAGACAGGGACCCAGTTGAATTGGCACCAATTACGTCATAATCTAAGGGGGATAACTCAGGCCTGTTTAGCTCGAAAAACGAAGGCCTCATAACGGCATATCATTTTCACACTATTGTGAGCTTCCTACTTTCACTGTGAAAAAAATGAGTGTATATTTTCAAACACAGATACTAACTAATTCTAAAATTGTGTTTTGTTTAGAAAAAGATAGAAAGTGATTTTTGTGTGTACACTTCCCCTTAAGGCGCCGCCATTCGCTGTGCAGAGGTGTAGTCCCTTGACCATGCCAGAAACCTATGATTGTGGGTTCGAATCCCGGTGCGCCCCGATTATGTTTCTAGGTTGGTTAGCACCATACCCGTGCTCGTGGGTTTCACCGAAGTGTAAACGTCTGAGACCTGCATCACTTCGGGCTTTCCTCCCACATAAAGCTGACACGCCGTTATATAACTGGAATACTGTTAAAAGCGGCGTTAAACCCAACTCACTCACTCACTTCGGACGCTTAAGAAACATTCGTAGTTTTCTAGCTAGTCACATGATCATCTGTAAAACACCTCACTCACGTATAAAAGACAGCTTTGTCTTAAAAACAAGCCATCATCTGAGTCTTAGTTACAATGTCTGTGTGCCGCCACACCTCGTTATAGCGCCAGTAATCGCGATAGACAGGGCCGTCCGAAAACGTTCATACACGATGTCCGGAAACCCATGATCCGACAACGCAAGGATGGTTCTAAGTTATTTTAATGCCGTGACATTTGGAAATACTGTTCAAAGCGGCGCTGAACTCCAAATTATTGTAATACAGTCCAAAAGAGACATATTTACGCCAATATATTGTAATGTTAAAATTTATATTTCGTCTTTTTTTATCTTGCAACGAAGGACAAGTCAATTAAAAAAACACAGCGTGACATGAAAAAATATATGACACATCGAAAAGGGGCGACAGCATAGTTTGGGTGCAATGAAAAGAATGACACAGTTCTATTATTTTCAAATAAAAAAAATAAAACTTTGTATATTATTAAGGACAGCTAATTTACTATTTATTAGGGGGGGGGGGGGGGGTGTCATAGAACTAACATTTAGTCAAAGAAATAAAGTTATGTTGTTGTTTTTATTCTGTATGTAGGAAAAAAACACTTTATGGAGCCCAGAACACTGCTCAGTTTTCCCGATTATTCTAGACTTGATTTGGACTCGTTTTCTAATGTATTTTCTAGGATATGGGAGGCAGACAAAACCAGCACATGCTACTAGTGACCACATTCTGACCCTGAATCCCGCGTATGCACCGAAGTATCGGAACATGTATGGTGACACAATACATTCTCAGTCACACGTTATATGGTAGAAATATAAAGTAAAATTATATTTTTCCTTGTTAGGTGCTTAAGTTACAGTAAATATATTTCATTCAAGGTTACAACCTAGTTCCGAGTTAGGTTTCAAGTTAATCTCTTAGATGAAAGTGTCGAGTTTCATGAATCGCTTTCCAAACTAAATTTCAAGATCGTTTATCTTTACATTCCAAGAACCCAGCGTTCATAACCAACTGATAACAGCCTTTCTTGTCAACATTCAAGAACATATCACATAATTAGGATGAATATATATATGTACGCATTATTTTTAGTATCTGGTTATCAAGCGTGTAGGAGCGGGTTGTGTTTTAATAGAGTAGGCGCCTCATCCTACCCTTCGAGAGTTTTATTCAACTATCCATATCGCCATGATCGCCCTTGGCCGTGTCACTCCTATATTCGCCTCCGACGGCCTTTCAATTGTACACCAACACCCTTGATGACATTCCATGCCGATTGTGTCCTGTCACGGGAATCAACCTCTGCGAGGCATTGCGCCATTTTATGACCGCTTCATTCAGTTGTTGACAATGTGAAATTCAGTTTTCAAACTTGACATGGTTTTTTATAACATCTCTCTTTTGAATATGAGTGAGTTGGGTTTAACGCCGCTTTTAACAGTATTCCAGTTATATAACGGCGTGTCAGCTTTATGTGGGAGGAAAGCCCGAAGTGATGCAGGTCTTAGACATTTACCGCTTCGGCGAAACCCACGAGCACGGGTATGGTGCTGACAAACCTAGAAACATAATCGAGGCGAACAGGGATTCGAACCCACAATCATACGTTTCTGGCGTGTCCAAGGGACGCAACTCTGCACAGCAAATTGCGGCGCCTTACACTAGTGGGCCACCGGTGCCCTCTATTGAATATGAAACTTGCAGTTTTAAATGGCGGAAAACACAACATATTCAATCAATCACTTTGCCTTATTCTACAGTACATCTCTACAACCGACGCAATCTATCAATATTATGGAAGGCATTGTATCCTATGCTTTGCAACAAGAATTATCTACCTCATGATGAATTTTATACATTCTGAATTGTTCCCCAAACATAAATATACAGTGCACTCAACATGACAATTTCTCAACAATAATACATTGTGAGGTATCAGCTTTCTTCGTGATATTTAATAATTCATCACACGAAATAACATCTCTCTCTAAGGACGTGGCGCCATATGGATTTGTGATGCAGACAATATCACGCATTATTTGATTGATTTACAAATTATCGTGAACGTAAATTAACGCTAGCTACTCTGATAGGGTGAGGGCGGAAGACGCAGAGGTCGCAGTGGAAATTAAGGTAATGCGCACCAAGCAGATACGTATGATCAGTTCAACGTTAATCTTATAATGAGAAGTCTCTTACCCGTTCCGTATTGATGATGTTGTGACTCACGTGGTGTATTCACAGGGTTACAATTCGTGTTTCGGCTGTTACGTGTCGATTCCCAAATTGAATCAATATGTTAACCCAGAAATCTGTACGTAAAAGTGAGTGAGTATGGTTTTACGCCACTTTTAGCAATATTCCAGCAATATCACGGCTGGGGCCACCTGAAATGCACCCATATGTCGGGAATCGAACCCGGGTCTTTGGCGTGACGAGCGAACGCTTTAACCACTAGGCTACCCGACCGCCCCCGTACGTAAAAGAATTTAGCGTGAAACCAACAAGCAACCAATACATGGTATAGACAATCAACAATTGTATTAAAAAATAACCAAGTTTACAAATCAATACAAATTACTGCTTACATTAAATATTCCTCCATTCGTGACAACTAGTCATTGTCCAAATACAATTCAATGAACTTCTACCGAATAAACCAAACTCACTCACTCACTTACCCATTTCTGGTGTCCCACGCCGTGATATTGTTGGAATAGTGCTAAAAGCGGCGTAAAACCATACTCACTCAGTTCATGTTGTGTTCATTATATGTTGTCCTTGTCTGCAGTCAGGGGACCTTAGTGTCAGCCTACTAACATGGAACTCGGATACCCTTTACAGCGCCCTTTTGGCCTAAGTTAAACTGTATCGATTGTTATAATTGGAATTGAAAGAACTCACATCAACTGATTCCAAAGTACAATTTCATCATCATCATCATCATCATCATCATCATCATCGTGTTTCGCCCTTCAGTCCAGTGGCTGGACATATAGAAAATCTGACCCTGGTGTCTTTTGATTTATATATCAATACGAGTCCATTGCATATAATAACTCTGAGTGATAAAAAAGATACGAGGGGAAGATTCTGTTCATCATCAACATTATTCTTCCAAATCTTTAAGTTTATGAATAGTAACATGATAGTGTCTTGAGTGGAAACAGTTCAGCTTTAGTGGCAGAGAGATTAGTGATGTCATTTGATATCCAACAGCATGGTAACCGATGACGTCCCAATGATCTGCAAAGCTTTGTGATGCAAGTTCATTGATTTTGATGCTTGATGTCACGCAAGCGATATCTCCAATGGAAGCCAGATTTAGGTGATGAACAGAGAATCTCACCCTGGTGTCTTTTGTTATCAAATTTATCAACATGAGTTGATAACATATCATATTTCCGAGGCTTGCCGAGGAGTTTTAAACTTTTATCGATGAATTTTGACATATTTGATATTGAAAGACAAGGGTGAGATTTTATTTATCACCCAAAATCCTTCTTTCATCTTTTTTTCAGTTTGTAAACAGTCAGACGCAAGGTCTTGATGTAAAAGTACTGCTAACACGCTTCAGTAGGAGATTAGTGATGTTATTTGTTTGTGACATGACG